TATATATATATATATATATATATATATATATATGATTCAGCAATTAAAGCATTTAAAGTTTTAGTCTTGTGCATACTGTGGCAATTTTACAGTACATATTTGAATTTTTCATAGTTTTTCTAGAGCAATGTGATTTTAATGAAACAGGTAATCGTGGCCAACTGCTAATTATTTGTGGTTTAAAATAAAATATTTTACTAGGCATGGTGGCTCACTTGTAATTCTAACACATGGGTGGCTCTAAGTAGGAGGACTGCTGTGAGTTCAAGTCCAGCCTAAGCTACATAGATGCTGTCTTTAAAAAAGAAATCTTTCATCAGTAGTAATTTAACCACATTCAAAAAAATCTTGGTAATCCATACTAAAGAAATGATTTACTGGGCTAGGTACAGAGGCGTTCACCTTTAATTCCAGTACTCAGAAGGCCGAAGCAGGAAGATTACTATGAGTTTGAGGCTAGCCTGAGCTACATAGTAAGCTCTAGGACAGCCAGTGCTACATAGTGAGATAATGTCTCAAAAAACAAGTAAATAAAACAAACAACAACAACAAAAAAGAAACAATACACTATTAAAACCCAGCAGAATAGAACACTACCACCCATCCTTAGATAAAGGCACCTCTATAATCAAGGTATTACCATCAAATAGTAAAGCACACCAAGAAATCTAAGAGCATATGTTACATGTGATGTTCACTAGTAAAAGTGCACTTTGCCTCAAAAAAAAAAAAAAAAAAACCATAACCACAAATAAAACCCTTGCAAAAGTTTTTGACTACTGTGGATTTTGGTAAAAACCACATATAGTTTTACCTTTTCTAAAAATGTATTATCTTTCACAAGAAAAAAATTCTTGAAAATTAGAAATCACACTTCCTGCTGATTCTGCAAGAATATATACAAAAGAAAGCCAAAAACTGAAACATAAGTACTAAATAGACAGAACAGTCATTATTTTGCACTAAAGGAATGAGTCATCTCATAGGACACTGTGCCTAAGCCAAACATGAAAACTTACAGGCTTGGACATTTATGAAATAGCACCCACAGCAAGATATAATCACATACAGTTTGCTGATTACCCTCTTAGCATCCATCTGTGGAGGAAACCGTGTCCTCTGACACAGGATGAGCACTTTAGCAGATTCCTGTGGTCTTTTTGTCCATGCTAAGTAACAGAAAGCCTGCAGCCCACTCCAGCTAACATGCCAGTCTTTGTTTGGTAACTGAATATTTTCTAGACACAGGGATGACGGGAAGAACTCGGATTCAGCTGCTTCCCATCTCTCCCCATCCCTAGTTAGTTCCCTCCAAGGCTGGTGGAAGGACAGCAAGGACATTACGCTTTCAGTGGTGTTCCAAAGGACAGCAGATGCTGACTGGAGCTGATGTGGGTTCTTCAGAGTCCTACCTCTGAGTTCCTTTTGGCTCTAGCACTACTGATGGCTTTTGGCTGTCATTCATAAGACTGTAGGAGTCTCACCATCCCTCTAGGCAGTCTATTTGGGCTGGGGTCAGAACAGTTAAGGAACTACCCTCTCACCTACTTGGCCTCCTCTGATCTGTAGGAAGCACACAGATCCTTTCAAATCCCAAGCCAGCAACCTCCTGTACAGCTCTTGCATTGGGGACTGCTGAATATTTTTAATTGATTTATTCCATGTGTGTTTGTACCTCATGTGCATCCAGCACTGGAGGAGGCCGGGAGAGTAAAACCTTTGGACTGGAGTTACAGACAGTTGTGAGCTGCCTTGTGGGTGCTGGGAATCAAATTTGTGTCCTCTGGAATAGCAGCCACTGCTCATACCCATGGAGGCCTCTCTCCAGTCCCTTCTTGTCGGAGTTTCCAGGGGCTATCTCTGTCCTCTGTGCCTCCCCCATGGATGAAGGTGCTTTTTCACTCTAGAGACCCTGTGCTAGATACCAAGTACAAGAGCATGACCCTTGTGCTTTGTCCATGCCTGGGGGAAGAGGTCACAGCATAAAGCTCTGAAGGGCCTCACAAAATGTTTTTCTATCAAGAATCCTTCTAAAGATTTTCAAGTTTTTGGTACTATTTTAAAGCTTCACCCCAAACCCTGGACCACCTATCAAATGGAATAGTCACTGCTGAAATTCACACTGCTGTACCTACATGCCTCTCCTAAAATTGCAGGAGAATGTTCAGTTGGAACAATAATTAGCAATTGATGATGTTATGGCAATCTAATCAAATTTAAGAACAATTAAATTTTTGAATGAATAATCATTTGCTATTGGAAACTCTTCCAACATGTGGCTAAAGAATCCAAGCACTGGGGCTCGAAATGCAACTCAGCTAGTAAAGCACTTGCCTATCTTGCGCCAGGCCCTGGATTCAATCCCCAGGACCGCATTAACCAGATGTGGTGGTGCATGTCTGTAATTCTAGCACTCAGTACATAGCTAGCTTGAGATCCACCTGAGCAACATAAGGAAGGCTCTGTCTCAACAAAATAAAACATAGAACTCTAGGGACAGAGGCTGGAGTGGGGGAGTCAGGGGCGGCACAAGCAATAGAGGCCAGCCTGGTCTACAAAGCGAGTTCCAGAGCAGCCAGAGCTACATAATAGAGAAACCCCATCTCAAAAAAGAGAGAGAATCCTGCCATTTCGTTGATTGTATAGGGTTTGTGCTTTTTCTCCTCCTCTATTTTGCATTGTTCTATTATAGTTTATTCTTTCCTGTGGCCTTATGATTGATTTGTTTTTTTCTCTTTAGTCTGAAGGATTCTTCAGGTATTTTCTATAGAGCTTGTTTGGTAGGCATTAGTTCCATTAGTCTCATTTTAGTCTATTAAAATGAAAGGATTTTATTTTTCCTTCAGTTATCACAGGCAGCTTTTCTGGGTATAGTTTTCTGAGCTGGCAGTTAAAAATCTTTGGGAATTTGAAATACATTATTCCAAGTCCTTCTAGCTTTTAAAGGTTCTGTTTGATAACCTGGCTTATTCTGATAGACGTGCATTTTGCAACTTAGTGTTTCCCTCTTGCCACTTTCAATCTAATGTCTTTGTTCTGTATAATTGATATTTTAACTATAACAGTCTAGTTGGTGCCCTAACTGCCTCCTGTATCTGTTTTCCTGTCTCCGGGAAATGTTGTTGCAGTCCTTCTGAAAATGTTTCCCTTGCCTTTAGAGTGAGATTTTTCTTTCTCTGCTCCTATACAACACATAAATTTGGTCTTTTCGGTGTTGTGTATATCTTGGAATTCCTACTGGTGCCATCTTACTATTTTATTTTTGTCGTTGTTACAGTCTCCCCACCTTGCTTTCAAGTTCAGACAGTCTGTCGTCTTCTTGATCCCTTCTGTTGTGGAGACTTTCCACAGATCAGCCCTTCAGGTTAGATCTGTTAGCATTTGACTATCAAAAAATAAAAACAAAAATTACCCACCCAAACCAATGAGCTTGCCAACCTGGAAAGGACCCAGGATGGTGGAGGGCGACAGAGGCCTGAGCTTCCCCTCTATGTCTGTGAAAGGAGGCTGGAGGCACAGGGACCTGGGTGGGGACTATGCTTCTAACAAGCACAACTGGCCTCAGACAAGGATTCCATGCTGCGTGGCTCTACGAAACCTGAATGTTACTATAGAGCAAGAAACTCCAAAGCCAGGGTTCTCAACTGGAAATTACGAATGCTGGATGGAAGAGAGTGTAAACCACTAGGCAGTGAGAGGGGGAAAACAAGAGTCAATACAGACAATGCAGCCCCACGCAGGATGATCCCATAAACCCAAGTTCCAAATGTTAGCCAGTCTCATGCCAATAAAATGCCAACTACAGTCATTTGTTTGAAATAATCCCACAGCCCACCAAACAGCCATATCAACATGAGGATGACTACATGTTTAAGGATAAGGTGGGAGGATTCTGTGCTTGCTTGGTTGGAGAGAGGGTTTGGATCTGTCAGCCAATCAATCTTCTTGCCTCAGCCTCCTACTGCTGAAATTGCAGGTGCGGTTGCCATGCCCAGCCTCCTTCATAAACTTTTTAAAAATAAATTTTCATTTTAGAAAAGGCCAGGTATGGGGGTATCTGCCACTGATCCCAGCACTTAGGGAGGCAGAGGAAGGTGGATTTCTATGAATTAAAGGACAGCCTAGTCTACATAGCAAGTTCCAGGCCAGCCAGGACTGTAAGATACTGTCGAATGAAAGAAGAAAAGAAAGGAGGGAGGAAGAAAAAAAAAGGAAGAAAAGTTTCAGATTTACATAAAAATAAGGATGCTATAGACAATAACCACATATCCTACCCCTATTTGGTTTCTCTTTTTTTTTTTAATATCTTTGATTAGTATGATATTTTCAAGTCACTAGGGAACTGGTATTGATAGCGTCCTTTATTCAGATTTCTTTAAACTTACCTAATGTCCTTTTTTGTTCTGGGACCCAGTCTAGGACACCACATCATATTTAAGGACAAGTCTGCTTAGGCTCCCTGACTCTGACAGTTTGCCTGACTTCCTCTTGTTTGCTAAGCTTGGAAGCTCTGAGTATTTATCAGGTATATTGTAGAACGTCCCTAGATGTGGCTGTTGTGGAGCTATGAGTGCTCCGAAGGAACAGTAGTACAGTCATAAACTAGCACCCTGTCAAATCCTATCAAGGGCACATTAGTGAACGTGACTTATCACCTCACCCACCTAGCTGAGTGGTGTTTTTAGGATCCTCCATTGTGAGGCTGCCTTCCTCCCCCTTTTCATACTGTACTCTTGGAAGGAAGCCACTAAGTACAGCCCACACTGCAGAATTAAGCTTCACCTTGGGAGCAAAGTGTCTGCCTACATAAACTGGAATTTCTCTGCATGGGTGATCGATCAGCAAATTCACCCACATTCAGTTACTACATGGTTTGGTTATATTCAGATCTTGTTCACTACTGGAAGCTCTGTGAGGGCTCTTTCATTTGCCTTGTCACTCTTTGACATGGCCCCCACTTACATAAGTTTAGAGTTTTGTTTATATGCTTGCTTTTTAAAGGCAGGGTTCACCTATGTTGCCTAGACTGGCCTCAAACTCATAGTCCCTCTGGCTCAGTAGCTGGAATTACAGGCATGCAGTGCTATGCCAAGCTTCTATGCATCTATATGTAACCATCAGGATCTACGTTATATCAACCTTAAATTAATAGTGGTGTCTCTAATTCCATTATCACTGGACTTGTTCTAGGGTTCCTGTCTTGATTGTAACCTTTCATCTAAACAGAGAAAATTCAAAAATATACTTTTCATCTCAGAAAGTTAGAAAAGTAATTCTAGGTGTAGTGGCATGTGCATGTAATTCTGAAATCAGGAAGCTGAGGCAGAAGCTTGTAAATCCAAGAGCCAGCCTGGGCCTCATAGTAAACTTTATGCCAAGCCAGGCCTAAACAGCAAGACCTTGTCTCAAGGAAGGAAGGAAGGAAGGGAGGGAGGGAGGAAGGAAAGAGATGAAGGAGGGATAGGGGTAAGGAGAAGGGGAAGGAATTATAAAAGTAAGCTGTGACTTAGGTGATGAGATAACAATCATAATGTTTTGTCCATAATATCAAAACTCTGTTAGTAGTTAACTTCAAAGTAATACTGACCCCATTCAAATCTCAACAGCTGTCATTGTTGCTGTGGTGGGGGTGAAACCTGAGGCCTTGTGTCGCCTAGGCAAGTGTGGTATCACCAAACTACATCCTCGGGCCTTTTTCATTTTTCATTTTGAAACAGGACCTTGCTAAATTGCCACCTGGCCGAAATCTTGCACTATAAGCCAGACAGGCCTCAAATTTACAGTCCATCCCCAACTAGCTGGGATTACAGCAGGTATGTATGTGCACCAGTCACCTTTAAAATTAACTAAAGTTTTAATTTGCAATGGTTTTTAATCACAACTTACACACACACACACACACAAAAAGTACATGTATAAAGTTCACTTAGGTAAAACAGTTGGAGGTGATGATGGCTTAGAGACTTGACTGAAGAGGGCAGTGAGGAGTACGGAAGGACTAACATTTCTGCTACCTTATAACAGTTCACATCACACAGAAGGTGCTAGACTAGAGCTATATTGCTCTAAGTATACATTTCTGAACTTATATATCATGTATTACCCTAAAATATGAAAAATAACAAGCTTTGGGGTCTTAAAAAGAGAAATCAAACCTCCACCAACTCCCAAGCCTCTATGGCTCATATTTATGTCTGCTGGAAATTAACAGCAGTATACATAGTCTTGTTTAAGAGAAATTTATTTTCACTTCTAATCTAGATCTACAGTTTGGATTTCTGCAAACCTCATTTATTTATTAAGATTGATTCCTCTAAGAGAAATAAATGGTTTAACCTTAT